GCGGTAGATGTTAAATCCATTGATTGCCAGGTCATTATTGAGTACAGATTTGTTGAGCCAGGTTTCAGAGATGAAGATAACATCTGCCCCAGAAGAACTGACCAGAATTTTCAAGGCATCAAGTTTTCTCAGAAGGCTACGAGCGTTTACATGCAGAAAATGAAGCCCAGACACGTTCTTAAAGTCATTTGGTGTCATATAATTAGTGGGGGGTCCAGGGTTGGGCTGAATCCCTGAGAGCAGTAACAACATTATTATCAGACATTTTCTTGAGGTTTTTGTGACTGATGTGTAATTACAGGAGTTAACAGTGTGACAATTAGCCCCCATAATCGAACCATGATTAACATTAATGAAGACATGATCATTCAGAACCTAAAAACAGTGAAAGTTGCAGTGATGGGCAGATCCAGGTGTATTAACAAGATTCAGTGACTCCAGATAATCTGAGAACTGAAAATAGTGACAATAATATGAATGATGCAGAAAAGTCTCAGACCATAAAACGTCACAAATCAAATGGGCAAACAAACCCGACGAGGTGGCCCACCTGCAGTTTGAGTTGGGCTGAGGGGGGCTCCGGCCCCCCAGTGAAGATGGATGGATGGATGGATGCTCCCATGAGAAACAGAAGCTGGGTCCAGAATCAACAGGCCGAAACAGAAACAGATAATTTGTAGCAAATAGCAGAGCGAGCTGCCAGAAAATCCTCCTGAAGTGAAAGGCATGACCCTAGTTCGTTTCAGGTCAACAGGGGCCAACAGCGTGATCCGGAATAAAATTAATTATTATCCAGGTGAGTTTGGATGGAGGCCTGCAGCAACTCCGATGTAAACTCCGAACTTCTCTTGAACACCACACAGCCCTGCTCCTTCATGCTGCTCCTTCTTGCTACTTCTCCGCTTCTCTGCACGTCACCTCCGCACCAGACAGCATGAGAGGCACCCCCGGTGAAAAACGAGACTGACCGGAGAGGCTCAAGTCGACACTGGTCCGGTCCGGTTCTGCTCCAGTCCAGCTCCGGCGCTCCACAGCACGAGAGATGAAGAGGCTGAAGATGTCCCTGGCCCGGTTCTGCTCCGGTCCTGCGGCCCGGTCCTGCGGCCCGGTCCGGCGGCGCTTCAAAGCATGGGAGCGTCTCCTCCAGGTGAAAACAGTGATTCCACGGAGGTGGACAGTCCTTCGGTAAAAGTAACGGGCTGCTCACTGAAGCCGAGACCGGCTCTGTTGAAGACGAAGAAGAAGTCCCCCACAGCCACCTCGGTTCGGTTCTGATCCAGTTCGAGGGTCGCAGGTAAACTTCCCCCACACCTATGAAGACACCACAAGGGCCAGTCCAGCAGAAAACCAGCGAAATACCACCCGGCGATTTTTGTTGGAACTAGGTAGAACCACAAAGGTCCAGATGAGAGTTCGTTGAGGTCCAGAGAGAGAGAGAAAAAACACCAGACCTTCATGCGATGACTCCCCAGCTCGAGGGGTCACCTGGCCGGCAGTGTGCGCTCAGAGTGACCGGTGGGGTGGGAGCGGCCGGTCCTGGACCAAAATATATTTTTGGACGGTCCCGTCTGGCTCTCTGAGTCACTGAACACCGAATTCGGTTGGAATGGGGACCAACTTTAGACCGGTTCGAAAAAACGGGTCAGTTTGATGATAAAAGACTGCAGAGAAGCCGGAGGGAGCTGCCGTCCATCAGCTCGCCGGAAGTGAAGATGTTGGAGTCAGTCTCCCCTCCATCACAGACATCTACACCTTCAGATGCAGGAAGAGGGCCACCTGCATCTGAAGGACCCCACTCACCCAGCACACACACTTTTTGCCCCACTCCCCTCAGGAAGGAGGTTGAGGAGCATTTTCATTTAGCCTTTATTTATCCAGATAGTCTCATTGAGCCACGAGAACTCATTTTCAAGAGAGACCTGTTTAGGGAGCAGATGGTGGGGGTTAAGGGCCTTGCTCATGGGCCCAGAGTGGAGCGAATGAGGGTAGAGGCAGGTGTGGGTGTTTCACCTTTTTCCACCCACATTTTGATGTTCACGGCACCGGGAGGTGAGCCTGCGACTTTCCGATCACAAGCCCATCTTCTAACCTCTGCGCCACCACTCCCCCATTAAGTGTAGAACCACTAGACTGAGGAACAGCTTCTACCCTGAGGCTTTTAGACTCATGAATCCCTAATCAGAATAATCACTGTGAAAAAAAATCACTGTAATGCCAGTTTATTTGGTGAAATGTGAATTATCTGTGCTGCTGATTATCCATGCTGCTTATTTCTTGCCTTTAACCTGCTGTGTTCATACCCATCTGCTCACAACAGACTCATGTTCAGGCTGCTGTTTAAAAAAATACATTGTTAGTGTATATCTTAGTGTATAGCTTAGATGATTGTATACGGTTTCTTTTTTGTAGATTATATTTTTGCTATTTTTGGGTGTAACTGGGACTTTGAGTGCACAATTTAATTCCACCTCATGTACCACGTGATGTGAATGACAATAAAGGTACTTGAACCTTGGGTAAGTTAGTTAGTTGGTAGGTTGTCAGTAGACCGAATGAAAGGTAAATCACTTGATTCTTGCTGAGGTCAACCTTGAGTTCAGGGAAGACATGAAAGGTTCAACAGTTTGTAATGAACGTTGACACTTCCTGCTGGGCTCTTATCAGAGATGTGATTTTAGGATGATCACATCACCTTGGTGGGTCCTCACAAACCTTTAGCTGACCCAATGCTCCAATTACTTCAGAACCAAACTTACCGGTAAACATTTTTACAGAAACAAGAAGGAATAATGTCACTGTACCTGTTCTGATGAAGGTATTCGTTTAACACCTTGTAGAGGAACAGCAGAACTAGAAGAAGGACAGAGGGCTCTGATGAGGCTGAAGCAGAAAATGACCTGAAGTAGGTAAACAAACGTGAACACTAACCTTCAAACAGCCGTTGTCTAACACAACTCTCACCAAGAGGAAACCCTTCCATACAGGCAGAGATGGTGTCCACCATGTGTGGATTCTCTTCGGAAGACGAGTTTCTCATAGAGTCACACAGACAGGTGGACAAACAGGTTCTGGTCTGATGGTGGAGCCACTCAGGAACAGAACCCAGTGCTCTGAGTAGAACAGAACAGTTACACTAGTTTAGAAGCAATCTGATGCAGGACTGAAACATTGATACAGTTCTACATTCAACCTTTATTTCTACAGGTTAATCCCATTGATCCTCGGGGGACTCATTTACAAGAGATCTGATTTAACAAAGAGTGATGACAACAAAGACAATAATAGACAATCATAAAAGATGCATACAAATTGAGAATAACAAGTGAAAATATAATGGTATTAAAAAAAAGTTAAAAAAAAACCACTAGATTATAAGTATCCTGATGCATGCTCAATAATCCAGTTAGAAAAATATAAAAAAGTTAAATCTGGTCCTCTGGACATTCAAAAAACAATAACAACAAAAAATGTAGAAATGTTTCGTCTTTCATCCGAAAGACTTCTTCAGTCTGAGGTGCAGCACCAGATTTAACTTTTTTAGACTAGATTATAAGGCAATGTATAAAACTAAAAACAGGAACATGTCTGCATTGGTTCTTGCCAGGAACTTAACAAACGTTTGAAGTCACATGGAGAGGTCAAGGTCGAGAGCTTCAGATCTTTTTGTAAGATATTCCAGGAAACAGGAGCAGAGTAGGAGAAGGCGCTTTTGCCTAGTTCAGTTCGCACTGAGGGAACACTGCAGGTAATAATGTAATGTCCTGAGAGTGCACACTGTAGCTGCACTCACGCAGAGACATGTAGGAATGTATGAAGGCAGCAGACCAAGAAGTGATTTAAAGATGAAAATGTACCAGTGAGAGAGTCTGTGTGAAGTTAATGGTGACCAGTTAACCAGTGAATACAGGGTGCAGTGATGCGTATGGTAGTTATAATAAATAACTTCTTCTATCAGCTGTTCCCTCTTCAGGGTATGCCACAGTTTGTGGATTCCTGGGTTTTGCTTGTCACTCACTCTTCCTTCCACATCAAATTACTGGTAACTCTCTCTACCTGCTGCTGCTCTGAGGAGGACTGCCTGACGGTGTACTTAAGCTCCTGCCAGACACCTCTTCAGTGCTGGGACATCATCTACCAAATGGTAACTCGTGTACAGCCAACTAACCTTTTGCTGCAGCTGGTTCTCAACAACTATGATTTCTTCAGGACCTTCCACGGCCTCTCTCTTCAAGTCCTCCCTAGGATCTTATCTCTCTACTGGGCTCCACCTGTGGATCAATGTGTCCTTTCAACAACCATCTTCAAGCAAATCACAGCTGGGTCAACCTGCTCCTCTCTCCACCACCAATTACCTCCAAACCGGATCTCCTGCAAAACCCAGGAACTCTCCTCTCCATTTCGGCCTTCACCTAAAACACAAACAGTATTCTCTATTTCAAGGATTCAATATTCTAAGATACAACCAGAACCTATACTCACCTTATCCTCTTCTCCCTTGGAGTTGCGATGACACCAATCCACCTATAAATAAAGTTTACTTACCTTTTGTACTCCTGCCTCTGTCTTTACTAAATCAGTCTGCTTATTTGGGGGTTGACGTTGATAAAAACTTGATAGTATGTCCCAGCCAATGGACCCCCCCAAGCAAGACTGAGGAAGTAAAGACTCAGCTAGGACCAAAAGAAAACACTGACCCTTTCAATGTAACTTTACAGCAGATTTTTACGCAGCAACAAACAACCCAGGACAATCTATGGGAACTGGGTGGTATGATGTTCTCTCTCCAAAAAGGAAATGGTGGCCTGAGCTTCATCTTTGACTCAATCTACCCTTCTTGAACCTATGGTTAGGACTAACAGCCTACACCCCAAGGAACCTAATGTTCGACCATTAGAAATGTTCAAAGGTAACACACGCTAATGTGGTGGCTTCGTCCTTCAGTGTAACTTGGCATTCAACTGTGCACCCATTACCTATTCGTCCGATTCTGCCCGCATAACATATATTGTTAGTGCTTTAAAAGGAGGAGCCGTCCAGTGGGCAAATGCTTAACGTCTAAGATGCCCCATCAAGACTCTGACATTTGTCACCTTCCTGAAGGATTTTTTTTTCCATTTAGCCTTTATTTATATAGGTAGTCTCATTGAGCCACGAGAACTCATTTTCAAGAGAGACCTGTTTGGGGAGCAGATGGGGGTTAAGGGCCTTGCTCATGGGCCCAGAGTGGGGCGAATGAGGGTGGGGGCAGGTGTGGGTGCTTCACCTACCCCACCCACATTTTTGATGTTGTCAGTACCGGGGCTTGAACCGGCAATCTTCCGATCACAGACCCACCTTCTCTAACCTCTGCGCCACCACTACCCCCATTTTCTTCGGGTCTTCAACCATCCTTTACAGCAGGAGGAAGCAGCCCAAAAACTTGTTGCCTAATGTCAGGGGAGGGGAACGGTGTCCAAATTCGCCATCCACTTCCGCATCATTGTTGAGGAGTCCAGCTGGGGTGAGATAGCGTTACGCAGTGCTTTCATTAACGCTTTAAACAAACAGATTAAATATCAACTGGTCACACGTGATATCCCCTCGGATTTGGATGACGTAATTTCCTTAGCAATTTGGATCGACAACAGGGTTTGCGAGAGCCTCTTAGAAGAGGACAACAAATCCCACAAACTCCTCCTTCCCGGACGTAATGTTTGCGCCCCTGCGGATTCCACTTCCGAACCTGAGCTAATGTAGGACTCGGCTTCCCTCTGAAGAGCAACAGCGCTGCCTCAAAGCAAACGCCTGTATGTACTGTGGAAAGAAAGACAATGTAATCGCTGCCTGCAAATTACAGGTAAAAGACAAAGCCCACCAGTAGTACTGGAGATACTGGTGGGTACCACTTCTTTGCCTCCTGAAAAGAACCTGAATAAATCAGTAATTATCTGCATTAATGCTGTCGACTTTCCCATCCAGGCTTTGATTGATTCCTGGACTGAACAGAATTTAATCAGCAGAAACCTGGTGGAAGAACTGCAGATCCTCACCATCAACCTGACACCAGCCGTCACCGTCTCTGCCCTCACTGGGCAAACCATCCCCTCTATTTCATTAAAAATGTTAAAAATATTGTTTGTAGTGTCTGGAAATCACCAAGAGATGGGTGAGTTTTTCATTTTCGACTCTCCTACACCACAACATATCCTGGGTCACCCCTGGCTTAAGTTACACAACCCTCAAATTAACTGGGTCGAAAATAGAGTTGAAAAATGGGGAGAGGTTATTTGAGATGGCTCAGCTATCTCTCCAGGTTCAACCTCCTAAACAAAATAGTGAAAACAGTGACCTCTCTGCAGTATGTTCAATTTACCACACGATGGCACCAGTCTTTAGTAAACAAAAGGCATTATCCCTGCCAACATACAGGCCATATGACTGCACTTTTGATTTACTCCCTGAAGCTCCTTTACCAACAAGTAGACTGTATAATTTATCTGGGCCCGAAAAGACATCCATGAAGGACTATGTTGATGTTTCTTTAAAATCAGGCATTATCTGCCTTTCTACATCACCAGTGGGGGCCGAGTTCTTCTTTGTGGCCAAAAAAGATAAAACTCTAAGACCTTTTATCGACTATAGGGGATCCAACCAAATTACCATCAAAAACAAATACCCACTCCCCTTAATCGACTCAATCTACGAACAACTAAAGGAAGCTACTATTTTCACTAAAATTGATCTTCGCAATGCATATCATTTAGTGAGAATTTGCAAAATAGATGAATGGAAAACAGCTTTTAAAAACCCTTTGGGATATTTTGAGTACCTTGTTATGCCGTTTGGGTTAACTAACACTCCGGCAGTTTTTCCAAGCTCTCGTTAATGACGTTCTCAGGGATTTCCTCAATGTCTTAGTATTCGTATATCTGGATGATATACTCAATTAGTCCAAAGACGAAGAGCAACATACCCAACATGTGAAAGCTGTTCTCCAGAGATTGTTAGAGAACAAGCTTTTTGTCAAAGCAGAAAAATGCGAGTTTCATGCTACCACTGTGACATTCCTAGGGTTGATCTTTGAGAGAGGACAGGTTCGATCCGACCCTGAAAAGACCAAGGCTGTACTGGAGTGGCCTTCTCCCTTCAACAGGATACAATTACAACGGTTCCTGGGGCTTGCTAATTGTTACCGACGGTTTATTAAAAACTATAGCAAAGTCACCGCTCCCCTGACTCAGCTTACCTCTACACTAAAAAGGTTTAACTGGACACCCGAAGCTGACTCTGCTTTTAACAATCTCAAACATCAAAGTCCATGCTCAATAATCCAGGAATACAATCCAACATTTTTCAGTCAGGTCATCT